GCCAATAGGTAGCAGGATGGCTCAGCTAAAAAGAAATAAAAATAAAAAATAAATAAATAAAAATAAATAAATAAAAGAGAGGTAAAACCTGGTATAGGCTACCTTTTCCGCCAGGGGGCTGGCATAGGTGGGTGGGTTCTTCACTGTTTTATCTGCACAGGGGTATAATCACTTACGTTGAGTGAAATAAAGAGCCGTCTTTTTCTAAGTAGCCTTCATAGTGGACCAACATCAAATCCCCTCCTTTGGTCTTGCGATGGCAGATGAATGGCTTCTGGAGCACTTCGATCTTCACTTCTGGCTCAGGGATGAGAGCCCCGCTCGAAGAAGTGACCAACAGCGCCAGGACCGAGTTCCACAAAAGAAGCCTCATGTTGCTGGAGCAGGAAAGAAGTTCCTACGAAAACAGAGAAAGGGCCCCGGACCTCATAGAGTTAAGAATGTATTTGAAGCTAAAGGATAACGGCCTCCGGCAAGTTCATGACTCTCCCTTCCTAGCAGACGTGGCACCGTTACTACAGACAACTTTCCCATGCATTAATATCTCACCTCTAAAGAGTTAAACCCAAACTCGGGCCGGATTGGCTCTTACAACGTGGTCTCCTGGGTAGCCCGGTCTCTATTGGCTTGTGGTGCTGTCCTTCAGGAGCCTCTCAAGCCATTGACGCTGCAATAATGTAATTACAGCCCGCCCGAGCAGGAATCGCCGGGCGACGAACCACTCCGAGTGGTCCTAGAGCCCCGCGAATCAAAGAATTCCACCACCTCGAACTTTGGGAGACAAGTGAGACCCGGAGCTAACCGGAAACTCCCCCGACAGATTTACATCTGTCAAGTACCCCGGCTGAGCTTAACGGGAAGAGTCCTGGGGCCAGGTGAAAACGGTAGAGATTTCAGGAAATAGTCATTTACTCTCGCTGTAGGTGAGAAGACCCCCCAGGATTCCACAGTATACGACTCCTGCTACTGCTTATTATTTTACTTAGGGCATAAACGTTAAAGGCTTAGTGCTGTAGGGTTCACAAAGCGCATTCCAGTGCGTGAACCTAACTACACTGCCAGGAAGACAGGTTCTTTTATCCCATATAAAAGATAAGTGTATGTAGGCTAGGAGAGGTTAAGTGTCCTGCTTAATGTTATACAGCCCCAAAGCAGTTGAGCTCCGCCTTCAAACAAGGTCTCCTAATGCATTCTACAACACCGCATAATGTTATATGGCTACTAATAATTTATCACTTAAGTGTTCTTACTGTAGAGGGTCAATACTAGCTTCTATCCAGGATAAGGAGCGCACACTTTCTCTTTAAAGAAGAAATAGTAATCACGGTTGTGAGTTACACAGGCTCATCTTTAATTTTTTTTAGTTTTACATTTTTGCCTAATTTCAAAATACGTGTTCATTATAGTCGATTTGGAAGAAACTGGAAATCACTAAAGTAGGGTTTCCAGTTGGAACACAGAAACCGAATTAAATCTGAATTTCAGATAAACAACAAATTGTTCTGCATTTTTATTTGCTAAATAAGGCAATCTTGCACTAAAGAAAAAGATCGCCCATAACGCCACCATCCACAAAGAATCATCTTAACACTTGGGTGCATCCTTCTGTGACCTAAAATAATTTGTATCACATTGTGCACTTCGCTTCGTAACCTGCTCTTTCGACTTGATCTATGGTTCACATTTCCCCGACTCAAATATCCTTAGCACAGTCCTTTCTCACACTTTCATATGCACAGGAACCCCCTGAGGATCTTGTTAAAAATGCAGATTTCGACTTAGGAGGTCGGGGGTAGGGGCTCGATTCTGCAATTCTGACAAGCTCCTAGTTGAAGCCAGTGCTGCCGTCCACGAACCACATTTCCAGTAGCGAGGTCTTAGAGTTTATATTAGACAACATTCATTTACACTAGACGCCCAGTATTCTATCGTGAAATTCCCAATCACCTCCGTTGCGTACTCGGGTGTTTGGGTTCAATTAGACAGCCTTGCCATCGACTGCCGACTAGAACCTAGAGGGCACACACTAAGGGGCCAAGTTGACCCCCAAACATCGGGAGGTGGGATTCGACCCATGTACGGCACCATCAACAGGCTTCCGTCCTCCGGTCTCACCCATCGCTTACTCCCAAGCCGGCCTCCCAG